TAACATTGTGTTCAGTGATGGTGTCAGGTAAAGGAAGTACTGGCAGTTTTGCTGAATGAATGAGTTTTTTGATAATGCTGAGATCTGTTTTCCAATTGTCTCCAATAGGCCATATTTTTGCATTCACTTGCAGCTCTAAATTTTAGAATGACTTTATTAAGGATTTTCATGTGATTATAGAATGTAACGAGCTCTTTTGGTTTGGGAGTTTTTTGATCTGCGTGAATCCATTTAGAAGGAATATTATTCTTTGCTGCAATTATAATAGTATTCCTCAATTGTTCCCATATGTGATTCATGTTGGAGAGAGACGAGGAAAGGGAAAGGAGTTTATCCATATTATGTTTTTTGAATTGAGTATCTGTAGCTTCTGCAAATATGTTCCATTTTTGTTTTGTCATGTTGTTGAAGTCAAATTTCCTCCTTTTGGTTTTATTGCGTCTAGCTAGAGCCTCTTGTTTTGTAATGGGTTTAGTAAAATATGCTGTAACAATCCTGTGATCAGATCTGTAAAGAACTGGTTTTGAAACACCACAATAGATGAGGTCTGTGAAAAAACCTGGTAAAGTAAAAATACCGTCCAGTCTTTTTGGCAAACGTCGTGCAATAGAACTTTGCGAGAGGAAAAATGTTGGAAGAGTATCATCATTGCTACAAGATTGTAAATCCATGTAATTTCTAAGTGAGAGTCCTTCTATTAAATCGAATTTCCAACCAGTATTTTTGCAGAGCTTAAGACGTTCATGATATTCATCAATGTTTATATTGAAATCTCCCATTAATATAACATGGTATTGGTCTTTGTTGCACTCATCTAGTATACTAAGTATCTATTTTTGAAGAATTCGTCTATTATGTCTATCTTTAGCATCTTTGATGTTAGCATGTATATAGCAGTTAATTATCCTAATTTTAGTATGTCCTTTTAAAAATAAGTCGACATAGATTAATCTTGGGTCTGATGTGAAGGAGAATACAATATGTCGATCTCATCTTTTTGATATTAGTAGCCCAACTCCTGCATAAAGTTGTGATGAATCAGGTTGGCTTCAGAAAGTAGTAAAGTGATGATTTTGTTTGTATTTATAAAGCATAGATGTTTTGTGATGTGTTTCGGTGAGACCAACGAAGTCAACTTTGTTATGTGTAAAGTGTTCTATGATTTGAAATGATTTGATTAGATCGGTAGAGTCATTAATTCCTCTGATATTATGAGTAGCAAAAGTAATTATATCTCCTTTAATTATATTGTTGGATCTATTATCGTCTAGATGGAAAATGTTTTTGTCAATTTTTTCAATGGTGTTTTGTCTGTTTTTATGAAATTGGACCACCTGATTATCTAAAAATAAATCAATGTTATCGTCAATAAAAGATGTATTCCGATTATCAGTAGGAATACCATTAATCTGTGATTCGCCTGGTGTGGAGTATATTATAATCAGCGAGCTGTGTGTCCCTCATTATTAGTGAAAGCAAGAAATTGAGAATCCAATTTGGCAAGATGAGATTTAATCGAGTCTAGTTCTTGAAGTTTCAGTAGGATTAAATCTAATGGGTTTGAAGTGTTGATTTCATTATTGTTATTACTGGTAGTTGTAGTTGTAGTTTGTGAGTTATACCATCAGTTTCATCGTTACAATAGTTTTCGTCATTTCTGTCATTTTCGTAATTTTAGCCAGATGATCGCTAATTCGCGTTAAGAAATTGTGACTCCGTTTAGCAATGATCTACAGAATTATACTTAACAGTTATTTCAAAATATCTCACTAAATATTGGTCCAATCAGGTTGAGCTTATATTCGCTCATCAAGATGGTTCTAATGATACTATTTCTATTGAAATATTGATCATTAGTTTAAGAGTTATTCCATTTAACAATATATATTTAATTTTATTTGATATTCTGATTTAAAACATACTCTTACTTGCTTATTTTCATTTTTTTTATTTTAAAATAACTATAGAATCTAAATATTTTTTTATTATTAATAATTTTATAATTAGGTGTGTAGGGTATAGAAGAAAATTAAAAATCCTCAAAATTGAGGATTTTTAATTTTTTCCCATACCCTACACACATATTTAATGTAAATTTTACTATTATTCTTAAATATCTACCAAATAAAATATACCACTTAAATATCCTTAATCTAATTGATTTTAAAAAAATTACTATAAAAAATTTAATTAAAATCAATCGGAAATCATGCAGGCAAATATTCCGACAATCTAACCAAATCTAACGTTAAATTTGATGAAATGTACCAAGAAACGAGATCTACAAAAGTTAAATTTTTTTACCATACAACATATAACTTGTTTGATTAGAAAGAACTTTTGCCGACGATCACCCGACCCGATTTATTACGAAACATATATAGTATACTAAAAAAACTAATAAATGATATTATTTTAAATTTAATTAATTACAAAAGGTTATGGATTCCTGAATACAAACTTGTTATTGGTTCCAAAAAGATAAGGAAGGAGGAATATTATAATTAGTGAATTTCGTCTTGGAACTATGTTTATCACACTTTTGAATATTTATTTTGCGATTATCATTTTTTATCCGAATATTTTTAATCATTTATAGTTAAACCCTGTTATATAAAAGATAACGATAGGCTTTATTGCCAAAAAGCGAACCAAAAACAAAATATTAAAATGTCTTCTCACACAACTTCTGCTACACGACCTTCAGTTGTTAATTCAAGAAGTCAAACTACAAGTTGGAGAAATAATACACTTCGAGCTTCTAATGAGAGTGACGGCGGGAGTGTAGATAATGTTAAAAGTTCGAAACCGTACCCATTAGCCAACGAGTGGACATTTTACCACGATAAGTGAGTTCTGATTATGAGTTCTCGATTATTTATTTTTATTAAGAAAATCTTGAAAATAATAATAATAATAATTATAACAATACTCAATTCGCGTAAATATGCTTTTTCACTCTTTTATTTATTTATTTATCTTTTCAAATAACTTAAAATTCGAAACGAAGATATGTCGCTAATGCCACTCCTGGTAAAATACTTGTAATTGATTTTTATTAAGCCTTTTAAATGGCAATTCTATATTTTCAATCGATTTAAATTAGTTATTTTATTATTTATGTTTTTTAGAAGAATACGAAGAAAATTTAAAGAGCGTCGCAACTGTAACCACAGTTCAGGTAAAAAGATTTTAGAGAATTTTATTGGCGCGTTTTTTTATTTAAATCATAATTAAATATAATTAAATCTTTATTATCTAAGAGTTTCTGGTCAGTTTACAACAATATCATAGGACCAGAACAACTGCAATTAAGAAGCAGTCTTCATTTCATGAAAAATGGAATTCGTCCCGTATGGTAAGAGGTCTTTACGTTAATATTTTTATTATACGCGTGATTAATGGAAAAAATACTTGTTACTACAACATTATTTAGGGAAGATCCACATAATGAAAATGGAGGCGCTTGGTCGTTTCGTGTCAACAAATCCAATTCACAAATAGTTTGGAGAGAATTGCTCATGTTTTTAATTGGGGAGCAATTCGAGGATGTTATTGCTAAAGGTTAATTCAATTAGTTAAATTAATAATTAATTCAGGGAGAAGAACTTACATTTTTATTCATATAATATTAGATGATGATATCTTTGGCTTAACAGTATCTTCTAGATATAATTCTGATATTTTCGCTATTTGGAATAAGAATGCAAACGCACATGAAAATTCTAAAGTAATGGAGAAATTGCAAAAATTACTAGAACCCGAACTTCAAAGTCCATATTATAAAGGTATGGAAAATGTTAAGATATTTCCACCTATTTTATACGCTCAGATCTAATAATCTTTATCTACTAACAGTCCATAAAGACCATGCTGCATTTAAGAAATAGGATGTAAAACGGAAAAGGTTGAAACAATTTGATTTTTTATCATTTTTTTATTAATTAAAGAAATATTTATTTTATCAATGTAGACTTTTATAAACTTACAGGAAGAGACTCTCTTTAGTTAATCTAGGAAATTTATTATCTATTTGATTTACATCGAGAAAAATAAAAAAAAAAAAAAAAAAGGAAAACGAATTAACCATTATAAGATTATTAAAATTTTTATTTCAAATAAATAAATTTTCATGAAATTATTTTTTTTCAATTGATAAAGTGATTTCTACGTTATTAATTTCATCAACTTTTTTTTGTAATCTTTACGGAGTTTAAGCGGTAGCATCTTTCAAATAGGCAATGACATCATTTCGTTCCTTTTCCTTTTTGAAACCGGCAAATGCCATCTTTGTACCCGGAATATATCTAAATAAGACATGAAATTAGGAAATGCTATTCTTCGAGCATTTAATCAAAAGTCAGGAATATATGTCATACTTTTTCGGATTTTCGAGGTAATCAAACAAAGTATCTTCCTTCCAAATTACTCCTTTGTTTTGATTTGCGGCAGTATATGAAAATCCCGAAACTGTGCCAGATTTACGACCAAACAACCCGTGAAGATTTGGCCCTACTTTGTTTGCCCCTCCCGCATCAACTGTATGGCACTGAGCGCAACGAGTCTTGAACCTGTGCGTAATGATTACTAAGAAAATATATTTTGAAAAAAAAAACTGAAAAAAATTTTCAACCTACAATTTAGCACCATTTGAAGCGTCAGCAGTGGCTATTGAAGTGAGATCAGTACAACTCGGTTAAACATCTGACATTTAAAAATCATCTGTTTCGAATAACAATATTTAAGAGTAATAAATCTTACCAGCGTTAAAAGGCATGTTTACGAAATATATATATAAAAAAAAGTAAAGATTGAAAAATTTTCTCGAGGGGACCAAAAAAAAATTTTTTTCAATCAGAATATTTATAACTTTTTGATTTTTAAATAAATTAACCTTATTAGGAATTGTGACAAATGACACATTATAATTTTCCGGAAACTTCCGATGTAAATTCATTTTAGTCTGATATAGATCAGATCTATCGATTTTGGTCAAAAATCTTACCTAATAATATTCTTTATTCAAATCAGGTTTGCAATCGTAAAAATTGTCAAATGTAAAAACGGGTGATTTAAAATCCCCACCAATGATTATTGAACATTTATTATGTATCAAAATACCCTCTTCTGCGCCTTTATAGAATTCTACTATTTATGGTGATATAAGCATACATCATCCGAATATTTAAAATTAAACAGAAAATTCGAAAAAAAATACTGCTTACCGTCACGTAATTATACGGACCACTCTGATTGGTCCGATTGGGTGACGTTTCATTATAACGAATTATTCGTTATACTGTATATACTGAATAATTTGTTATAGTGATAACAAATTTTCTTATAACGAAGGTCTTACCGATTCACACTGTTCTCAGTTTGGAAATACACGTATCGCTGTCAACTAATTATATAGTTCTATAACAAAAATTCTATTGAAGATTTTTTTATATTAAGCTTTTTTTATAGTATAATTTATAATAAATTTACTATTAACGAAGCTATATTTTATTTTTTAAAAAAATACTCCAAATATCTGTCTCTTTCACAAAATAGATCGCTTTTTTTTTTTAAAAAAATTCATTAATACTCCGAATTAATAAATTAAACCTTCTAAATAAAATAAAACCTTTTTTTACGTGAGTTTTGAAAAAAAAAACGAGGTATTTATGTTTCTTAAATTTATCATGTACCCATTCAACTTTACAGCGTTACTTTAATGTTAATAGAGTACAAGTTTTTAAATTTTAAAGATTTTGTTATTTTATTAGAAATTTATTAGAAAAGCCCGAAGTTAAAATGATTGTCAAAAAATCTCTAGTGAGTTTTACTATAGGACCATATATAGTTTTGTTAAACTATGTTGACAGCGCACTCCAACGTATCGTGTAATTGACAAAAATAGACCATTTGATAAAAAAAATAAAAATAAAAATCATTACACATATTATTTTAAATGTGCAAAAAAAAACCATTTCGTGCGATTTGATTTTTTCCTTTGCGGTATCAAAGAAAATAGGTACTCCTCTTTGTTTCTTCTTTTTTGAAGTCTTTTGTAAGTAAGCCTTTATACATTGAAGCCTATCAAAAGTAAACTATTTAAAAAAAATATCTCTAAGAGAACGGACCCTCAATACTACGAAAAATGAGACTTGCCATGAATTCTCAACTTATGAGATCTATTTAGTTCTTATCAAAATGGGTCCCTAACTCTTGTGAACTATTATTATCCATATAAAACATATTAGAATTTGAAGTTGAGAATAAACCATTCCAGATTTACCTTTTCAGATACGTTTAATAGGTACAATTAAAACAACAATGACTTCTCTAATTGTTATAATAGTGAGTCTTTTATAGTTATCGAATTTGATGAAAACTGTCATAAGAAATGAAGATAGTCTCTTTTTCTTAAATAGAATATCTTGCACAATTCTCATTGAGCCATTAAACTAAACTGGCTTCAATCCATAAATTTGCTATAAAAATTACGCAAGCCTCTTTTAACAGTAACAGTTAGTCTTAAAACATTAGAGTCAGCTTTTTTACCTTCTAGTACATATCACTGTAATTTTTACTACTGATTTATTCAACAAGTTGAGTATTTAATATTTACTTTGTTTATATTATCTCACTTTATAAAGATAAAGATGAAATCTGAAAACTGATTTTACTTAATCTTATTAAAATTTTCCTTCAAATCATATGCTGAGCTTTTTTAATTATTAAGGCTGCCATTTATTTTTGAAGTAAGTCTTCAAAACTCTATTGTTCTTTAAAGTCATCTGATTACCTTTAAAACACATCAAGTTTGTATACCTTTCTAAATTATTTGTATAATGTGACACTATTATTAGAAATAAGATTATATAACATGCTATTAACATACATTAAAAGTTCAAGTACTGGTGAAAGATACCCAAATCATTAAGCATTATTATAAATTGATTTCTAAAAGATTTATTCTTACTTTCTGAAAATACTTACCTTAACTTTATATTAATTAAACTAATCATTTATCATATAGTTATGCTTTTTTTAACAATAATAAGGTAGATTACATTTTATAACTTTACTTAAATTACTTTAGCCATTTACCATCTAGATCATATTTTTTTTATTTTTATTAGTATGAAAAGTGTCAAATAAATCATCATACTGTTGATATTGACTATTACTCTTATAGTTATAATCACAAGTGTTAGATATTTAGATTTATTGCTTACTATTGCATAAAGTTTCACTCAAATTGTCTTAATGATATAAGACTTACTTATACTTGAGATTCTTAATATTATAATTCTTAATTGTAAATTTATTAATTATTAGTTGCATTAACTATAATGATTTGTAATAAATTTCTGGGATAATTAACATAATAAATTATTATATAATACTAGAATCTTTTATTATCAATTTATATTTATTATATTTAAAGTATTGTAACCAGATTGGATTGACGAACGTGACGCAGCATATTGCAGATCTAAATGTTAGATATATCAGATATATTTGATATAATTGATATACCGGACATATTTGATATAATTGACATTTTGGACATATCGAACATATTAGATATATTTAATTTATTTGTTATATCCATCTATGTGTTAATTTAATATAAATAGGAAGCAATAGAATTATGTAAACAGTAGTTCGCTTTTAGTTCACTTTTAGTTTTGCTTTTTGATATACATCTAGTAGTTCTTGTAGAGGTGCCTGGCCTAACGTTCTACTTAGTATTTTAACTCTTTTAATTTCTTTTATTCTTCTTATTCTCTTAATTATATATATTATTATTATCTTTTCTTTTATTACTTATCATCAATAAACATATTATTATACCGCTAAATCAATTGAGTGTCTTACTTCTAGTCTTATCGTGAATACACTACCGTGTAAATTATAAACTTTGAGAGAAACTGAATTGAGTCACTACGTAAACTTAAAAGAATCACCACTCGAACACCCCGTCTAACTGTCGCAATTCGCAAGGATTGCATGTTAACAGTATTGAGATTTTTTTGTAATACTTATTTCAAGTAGATCTATTATTTTTTACTTACATTTAGTTTAAATACATAAGAATTAAATTTCAAATACCAAAAAATAATGAAAAAATAAAAATTTTAATTTTTAATTAGAGTTGATATAAAAATTCAAATTAAACTTAATAGTAAAATTTTTATTACATGTATAGTTGAAAATAATTTAAGATTAGATTATTATTGTTAATATAATTCTTTATATAATAATATTAAGAATTCTTTACTTATACAATATCTTCTTTTATATTAATCTATTTTTTAATACTAAAATAAAATTTTTTGAAATATCAATTATAGGTCTAGATAATTTACAAATAATTGTTGAATTATTAGCTAATGTGAAATTTAGACCTTTTTATATAAAAGTAGATAAATATAAAATTTTTATACAAAATAAAAAATTTAAAGTAGAGAGAATAATTAAATATAAAACCTAGTTATTTTGCATTATTAGTATGTAAATATTATTACTGGTTTCATTTTCGTTTATCTTAATGTTTAAGTTGAAAGGCTATAGCAGCTGATTCTATACATTAAAGTTTCTGACCTTAAGATTTTCTCTGAATCCTATAGGTATCCATTATACTTGAATCAACTCAATAATTTATCATGTTTTAGAATTTAAGATATATTTAATTAAACTCATAATGACAAACTTAATAAAAAGTTAGTATAGTATATCACAATAATCTTAGATGAAAAACAATATTGAAGGGAAAAGTAGTTTGTATAGATTTAAATTGATTCCTTTATTTATAACTTAAAACTCGCAAAAAAGTTAATAAATTTACAAAGGAGTTAATTTACAACTTAAGCAAAAGCTATTCTATTTATACAAAATTAATTTGCTATAGCTAACTATTTGTTACACTATAAATTAACTAAATATAAATATATATTTTAATAAAAATATACTTAAATATAATAAAATAATATAAATAATATAAACTATAAAAGTAATAAAAAGAAATAAATTAAATTACAGACGTTAAAGAAATTACAGACGAAACAAAGTAAATAGAATAAACAGATTGTACAGAAAATACAGAAGAAATAAAAGAAATAGGCGAACAGAAATTATTGTTGATCATTATTTAGCACAGCAATAATATCACTTAATGTGAGATCATTATTAATCATCAAATCTCACGTGATATTTGAAGTTGTATTTTTTCCATTGACAATCTAAAAAAATGTATATTTGTTTAGCAAATAAAAGTAAATTTTACAAAATTAATATTTTATGTAAAGTAAAATAATTTGTAATCTTAAAGAAAATATTTTAACAGATGTATAAAAAAACTAAAATTTAGTTAAAATTAATAAAAAATGATCGTTTAAATTAAAAAATTTACTAACTCAATTTATTTTATAAAATTTTAGATACCAACATATAAATCAGATAAATGGTATAATAAATAAATTCTAACTCATTTGTTTGATTATTATTTGAAGCAAAAAACAAAATCTAATATTAATTGATGAAATTTTTATAAATTAGTTAAATCAGTTAAATAATATAATTGAACTAATCAAATCTTTTAGGAAAATTTACTATTGTTAATTTAATAAATAAAAATTAGAAGCATGTTATTTAAACTTACAAGTAAGACAGTCTTTCAGTTATACAAAATTCTAAAAGATAATATATTAATTGATTAATTAAAATCATGAATTTTGATAATGAAATCTTATGATTATCAAAGACCATCATATTAAAAATTGCAAGTTAAATAGATAAAATTTATTTATTTATCAATATAAATAATTAATTAAAAAATGTGATCATATTTATATAATTAGAAATAGCTAAAAATAAAAAATATAATAATTACTAAATAAAAAAAAAAATTTTTATTTACAAATTCAAAAATAATTCTTTTATATATTCTAATAAATTATCTATTATTATAATATCATCTATTATTTCATCTATATTATTTATATTTTTAGCTACATATTTATTATATTTATCAACAGATTCTTATTTACCTGATTTTTTTATTAAACTTGTTAAAAAAGCATTAACATTTTTTTTAAATATATCAGATATCTAAATTAATATTTTTATAAGTAATAATTATAGTAACCATGTTTACATACAAGAACAATTTTATCATTTAAATAGTTAGCATATTTATAATATAAATAATCATAAAGAATAATAGTATTAAATTTTTTAGAAATAATAAAATCCTGTAAAAGGCAATGGTTAGTTATATTATAATCTAAAGAAGGTAATTTAAATGTATTAATATTATTAAATAAAGATTTAATAATTGAAGGATACATATAACATGTTTAGTATATTTTTATAAATAAGTTTAAAAGCTATACAGCATAATTCTGAAAAGTGTATTCAACTGCTTTGGTATATATATATAATTTGTTATATGATACATAAAATTAATTTTATATACAAATTTTACATATAAATAAATTTTTTTTAATTTTTTACTTAGTTTTACTTTATAATATTACTAACTCACTTTCAGTAACTAACTGCTAATATTTTTGTATTTTTTATTTTAGATTTTTAATAAATTTTAATAAAATGATAGATAACAAAACCATCCAATATAAATATAGTGTTGAAGTTTCAATTAAAATGACCTTTTAGAATAATAAATTTTAAAAGATATATTAAAATTAAAAATTGTATCTTTGGTATTAAGTTTATATATTTGTTTAATCAATATCAAAATATGAATGAAGAAATATGAAGCTAAGTTATATAAATCTTTACCTTATATTGATTTGTTTAATAATTTGTATATAAAATATACTACTAGCAGTAATATAAATTCAGAATATATCTTATATATGCAAGTGTGTATTATATATAAAAAATTTATGTGCAAGTTTTAAAGTCACATGCACTTTTTCACTTAAATAAAAATTTAAAATATGTATAAAAAAATAATATATGTGTTTTTTATATAAAGTAAAATAATAAATAAGCACTATTTGAAAAAAATTTTAAATATACTTTATTATGATATATAAAAAAATATATTTACAATATTACGATTTACAATTATAGTAAAAAAAATAATATTTATAAACTTCTCATCCTTCTTACTTTTAAATTGATCTAATAGTCATATGCTTTTTCAAAATCAAAATTTTCTATATCTGATCTATTAATCAAAATCATTAAATGCTGATTTAAATTCTCTATATTAAGCTTATTTTAAAGCTTTATTTTAATTAAATTCTGATGGAAAAAATTCTTTTAATATTTGTATTTAATAGTAATATAATAAATGCAACTATTATAAGTAGGATAATTATTAATGAAATTACTGTTAATTTTGAAAATATGTTGTTATATCTTTACAAAATTATAATTTCTTTCAGAAAAAAATTTTAAGTAATGCTTTGCTGGTTGTCATTCTTCTAAGAGTTTTTCTTTATCAACAATTTTTGAAAAAACAGTATTATTAATTACTCTGTTATTTTCATAATAATCACCTAGAAAATTAATCTCTTTAAATTTATATTTTAATATTTGATTTTCCATTTTTGAAAACAATTTAATATTAAATATACCTAATGCATCATATAATTCAGATTATGAGAATCTTTCTTATAATGCTTTAATTATTATTTCTGAATAATCTTTGATAAAACATGAAAGATTGTCTATAATTTTTTGGTAATTCAAATAGTTATGTAAAATAATTTCATATGTAGATTATGCATCAGCATTTCCAATAAAATTCTCAAAAATAGAATTTATTGCTGCTATTAAATGAGGTTTAAGATAAGAAAGAGCTACATAATCAAATTGAAAACTTTAATCAATTTTTTAAGTATTGTTGTCAAATCAACTAAAAACATAGTTACTATTACAAAATCTTCATCTAATAATTGAATTAAACTTTCAGCAACTCTTCTGCTAATGAATCTTTATTTAGTAAAGCTAAAACTGAATTCATAATTTTATAAAGATTTTTTATAGCATTTAATAATGAGCTATTATATTTCAATAATATTTAGTAATTCTAAAGTTAGCTTATCATTAATATCCTATTTAGTAAAAAAAAAAATAATAAATTATTTTTTTAAAAAAAAATTAATTTTAAAATTTTTATAGAATAAATTTACTATACCTGCATAATGTGTAACATTTTTTGTCATTTATGTGATCTGTTAAAATATGAATAAAATTTATGCAGAATTTTTTCATATTTTTTAAAATAATTAACTGCTAAAGAGATATCTTTATCTGCTAGATGTAAACGATATACAATACAGTGATTTGATGATATAAATGGATTTAATTTTTTAAGCTTTGTTGAAATTCTATTTCTAAGGTTAATAGACGAAACTTAGAGATTTGCAAGTTATCTAAATGGAAAAAGGTAAAATTTAGTGAAATTATATTAAAACTTTATTAAAAAATCTGTGAAATTCTAGAAAAGGTAAAACTATATTAAAGTTTATAAAAATGTGAAATTATATCAAAACTTTATTAAAAAATTAGCAAAACTATAGTTTAGACATTTTACCAAATTCAAAATAAGTTTAGACAAACAACTTTAGCCATTACGATATCTTGTATTAAAAAATAATTTTAATAATTTTATTATATTATAATTATTTTATTAAAAAAATTACCTATTATAATTAATGTGTCATCTAATCAAAAATAAATTAACAAGTTAAAATTCAAATTTTTTGATATAACAAATAATTTTATTTGATTAAATATAAAGAGCATCAATTTCTTCTAAATTAATCATTTCTAAATAATGTTATATAGAATATTATTATTAACTAAATGTTTTAAAATAATAGTCAAGTATTTGTTATCTGTTATTGTATTTGATTCATTTATCATAATACTTCAAAATTTTGAATTATTTAATTTGTTAAATAAATCCTTTTTAATAAAGGCAGTGACATATATTACCTAATATTTTAAGGGATGAGAGGGTAAAAGAAAATCTTAGGTTATACATAATATGATTGGTCACGTGATATGGCTTATACTCAATATTATATTTGATATTTATTTTATTTATTTCTGTATTTATAATTGACTAGTCATGCATATATAAAATGTATGTATAAATGCTATAACTGACTATATGTATTCTTTGTCTAACATACAATCTCTTAAATACACTTTATCAAAAAAAAGCTGCTTCTGTTATAATGGAAGAAGAGAAAAGTTATCAAGAGTTCTTGAATTTTGTTCTTTAGACTTTCTCTTAGGCTGTTCACAGCTTGCAGGATGTATCATTCATTTATAGTTTATCAAATAACTAAAAATTAGAAAGTATTTATTATACTCAAAACAACAAAGTCACAAATAAGTTGTTTGATCAAGAAAAGGGCAATACAAATCATATCCAGAAATTTTTAATAGATCATAATACTCAAGAAGATGTATAGAATTTGTGAAATGTCTGTTTCTAGCTTTCATAACTGGAAGTAAAAAACTATTATTTGAAAGAAGAAATTCTGTGGTTTCTTTTGTATGAGATAGTTCATAACAATTTATGTTTATATATCGTTTAATATCAAAGGAATATTAATAGAGATTACAGTGCTTTTCAATCTATGATCATAGCATAAACATTCTGGTGAATTGTTTCCTTTCTCTTATTTCTTTTTTTATCATTTCTGTTCTTCTTCTTTTTCTTTGTCCATATCTTCAAACTGCAGATCTTTGAATGGATTAGCAAGCTTTTTGACATACTATACATTCATGCTTCTCCTAAAAATCAAGTTGTAATGCTAAATTTTGCAAAGTTTTTCTTCAGCATATCAGAAGTTTTGAAGAGCTAATTCTGGATTAATCACTTTTTCTTATGTATTTAAGTGTGTTTCAAAGTGATCGATTGGTAGTGTAATGCCTGCTAACTTTTCAGATAGTATTGTCATTCCCCTTTCAACAGAATTATATTTAAATTATCCCAGAGCGTGTATTTGTACTGTCAAATAATCTAAATCATACTTTCAAAAAAGTTGACAGTACATTTTAATATTTTTTAGATGCCTTAGATTCTTATCTGATTCTTTATCTATTTGTAACACCCAAATAAATCAAATTTCTCTGTCATTCTTTAATATATTATTATATTGAAAATACAAAGTAAGCCTTTCAAGGTCTTGCATGTGTGTGATTAAAGATGTACCAAGAGACCATTGCTAACATACAAAAATAGCAAGCTGTTCAGTTTGTAATTCATTATTTAATTCATTTAGTTTAATTATAAGATAAACCAATAGGACTAACTTTTGCCTACTTTTCACAGGAAAATCATAGTCAGCTATACAAACAGGTTTGTGAACTGGTAAAATGTCTGACCTATAGCAGGTACCCAAGACCTATTTTCGCCTTGTCATCTTGAGAAATGATAACAAACTTATCAGCAAAGGCAGTAGCAAATTATTTTACGTATTTAATAGATGCAAGACAGTAGTGACTATCAGGATGATCTTACATTTCAGTATGTAAAACTGCAGTTATCGCAACCTATGCCAAATGATGGTATGCCTTTTTGACAATAGAATTAGATTGATGAGGCAGCAAGTAATTATTCAATGTTGTTCACGCTATATCCCAATAAAAAATTTGATATAAAAATTCCATAAAAATATTAAGTTTTATAATATATAACTTTTATGGAAAATCAGTATAATATATATATTTTTTCCTTAGGTAAAAACCTTAAACTTAATACGGAAAAGTGGGAAAAAACATATACAAAAAATAAGGAAAAAACATATATTTTATAATGCTTTAACAGATGCAAAAATCACGGATTAAACGTATATTTTATAATGCTTTAACGGATGCAAAAATCACAGATTAAACGTATATTTTATAATGCTTTAACG